GGGCTGGAGAAGGAGGGGGGAAGCCAAGGGACCTGAGTTTGCTGTCAGGGCTCTGCCCAGTGGAACAGACTCAGCTCCTTCAGTGCCAGGGCAGGGGTAACTGCTGTGTTCAGCTGGGTCTGTCATGTCAGGGAACAGTGTGAGGGTGGGATTATAGGTGTGAATAAATGCCAAATGTCCTCTTGTAAAACTTCAGGAGATTAACTGTTTTAACTAATATTTCATTTCATAACCCTTGATTGTCCTATTTAAACCACAGTAAATTCAATAAATGTCAGCCAATTAAATATTCAGGAGACGTTTATAGTTTTGCATATTTTGGCTGATTAAAAAAGGGAGTTTTTTGGGGTTTTTTTTCAGGAGAGGCTCCTTGGGCCACGCAAGCTTTCAGTGTCCTTTCCTCCGTAGTCAAGTCCTGCAAGAACTTCAAAGTGCGGATCAAGTCGGCCATGGCCCTGTCCATCCCCAGCAGGAGGGAGTGCTACGGCTCCCCCGAGCAGTTCTGCCACATCTGGAGCGCCCTGGTGGAGGCCCTGCAGAGGAGCGAGGACACCGAGGACTTCCTGGAGTTCAAGTACAGCTCCAGCCTGCGGAGCCAGCTGTGCCAGGCCCTGCTGCACCTGCTGCAGCTGGCCAGGAGCTCCGACCTGCCCCTGCTGGGCAGCAGCCTGCGGGAGCACGGCCACGCCATCCGGCCCTACGTGCTGCAGTACCTGAGCTCCCCGGGCCACGAGGGCGACTCGGGGGCACACACTGACCTGGGGCACAGGGAGAGAGCGCTGCAGGGAGCCATCGAGCACCTCAGTGCTGTGGAGAGAGAGCTGCAGGGCAAGGCCAGGCTCAGGGTGTCCCTGTTCCTGGAGGATGTCCTGACACACCACACCAGTGCCACGGAGCTGGCAGAAGCTTGAGGGAGATGGAACCCACCCCAGTGACCAAATGTTCCACAGGGAGCACAGAGCTGTGTTCCCTTGCACAGGACATCCAGAGGAAAAGTTTCCTGCTGCTGATATTAAGTATTTTGTTCCAGACTTTATTAATAATGCCTCTAGGACTTCTTTTTTATATTATTACTATTTTTTATTGTTGTGTTTGGGGAACTCTGCCCTCCCTGGGGCTGGTTTGTGCACTTTGCTGTCACAGCATCTCTGCTTGGAAAACAAACGCCTTTTCCTCCTCTGTGTGTTTTATAAAGCTGCCTGTTCCCTCAGCTTATCTCAAAGCATTTTCTTCCTATTGCTGCAGGATCCAGAATCGTGTTTGTAAAGCAAGGGCCTGGAAGAATTTTGTTTTTCAGAGCACTGCAAATGTTGTCACTCTTGTGTTCCTGCAATAAACCCAAATATGCCAATATTTGAAGAATAGCTTAGAGCAAACAGCCTTTGCCTTTAGCTGTCTGTGTTCCCAGTGCTGTACACCTGGCCTGAGCCTCCCTGCTGCCTCCACTCATCCTGTCTTCCTAAAAAATCACAACTCCTTCTTTCCAGGTGGATGGCACTGTGCTGCCTAAGCCAGAAAATTCAGAGTAGGTTCCCCAAGGCTGGAATTTTGGCTCTCCAAGCACCTCTGTGGGAGATGCAGTGGTGTTCTAACAGCACCCGGATTTGTTTGTGGTTCTGGAGTTCTGTCCCCTTCCATTCCTTTCTGCTGGTGTTACTTACTCTGTGTTTGCTCTGTGCTTACTCTGCTGATAGCCAGGGGAGTGCTGAGCTCTCTGATGTTGCTGGGGACAAATCAGCAGCTCCAGGAATGAGCAGGGCTCTGGGGCTCTCAGAGTTAATGCCTGCTCTCCTAACCCTGGGCTGGATGTTTGAACAGAGCTCAGGGCAAGCCCTGCCTGTCGTAAAACCTCTGGGGGATACAAAATTCATCTGCTTTGTTCTTCCACCTTTGCTGCTGGTTTCAGCAGGCCTCAAGGGCTGAGAGGATCCAAAACTTCCTGGGGCAAGGGAGCCTTTTCCAGGGGATGGATGGATGGGTGGGTGGGTGGATGGATGGATGGATGGATGGATGGATGGATGGATGGATGGATGGAGCGAGCCAGTTCTCTGCCAGGGATGAGTTCTGCTGCTGGTGTGGTCAGGCTGGAAGCCCTAGGATGGAGGCAGAGCTGAGCATCCCTGCTGGGCTGTCCTGGCTCTGTGACACATTTGCACTTCAGCTTCCCTTGCTCCTTTCCTCTGTGCCTGCTGCAGCTGATCCCACCTTTGAGCTCCCACACCCAAACCAAGGTTGTGTTTCTCCACTGCCCTGGGGAGAAATCTGTCCCATAGCCACTGAAAACAAGCACAACTTTGCCAGGATTTCTGTCCCAAAGTTGCTGACATCCCTGGAGCTGCCTCCATCCTGTGCCAGCTGGAATGCTGGGGCAGCTGTGGCACTTGGGAGCAGGGTGTACCTGAGCTGAGTGTGCTCCAGCAGCCCCATCCAATGTCAGCTGTTCTCTAACAGAGAAATCTGTGTTATCCCTGTTTTTGTGTGCCCCAGGAAGCGGATGGGAGCTGCTGTCATTCCCAATAGGGCATCCCCTTTGCCAGCCCTCTGGGGACAGAGGGGTGTGCCCTGCTGTGCCCTGTGCCACCCTCACTGCCCATGAGAGCCACAGGGCAGCCCCCAGCCCCATCCTCCGTCCTGGTGGGGCGTGGGGTGCTGGGGGCTGGGGAGAGGCAGCACCTTCCCCACCCTGGCCAAGGTTTTATTGTGCTGCCTCTTTATTGTTGTGTTTACAAGGCAGGCCCTTTATAGGTTTTCCTATGAATAGTTCCAAGGAGAAGGTAATTACCTTATCACATGCAGGATGATTTATAGCCAAGGTGGCAAGGGACACTCAGCTCCACATCGGCTCCGTTTGAAAGACAATCCGCCCGTTCTTCCCGGGGTCAGCGGCTGGAGAAAACAAAAGGGCTT